TATTTCATTTATTTTTTTGTGTTTTTTTTTTTTTTTTTTTTTTTCTATAAGGCGTGTGTGCTCACCAGAAAGACAGAGTGACAGAGAGACAGAAAGAGAGAAATCACCCCCGAGGGGGGATGCCCACCCCCACAATCCCTTCTCCTCCATTCTCCTCTTGGAATCTTGGGCACACATGCACATGTGCCCGGCGTGAGTTTAAGCCACCAGGTCCAGAACTCAAACCGTGGTCGGCTACATGGGAGTTCAGTGACATAGCCATTACGCTAACTGCCGGTCCCAATCTTTATAGATTTTTATAAAGTTTTTTTTACCCTACCTCTTGAAAAATAGTTTAGTTGATTATAAATTTCTAGTTATTTTTCTTCAGCAAGTTTAATATATTTTTCCATTGTCTCTGGTATCTACTGTTGCAGATGAGAGGTCTGCTGTCAGCCTAATAATGGTACCTCTTTACATTTTTATTTATTTTATTTTGTATGAGAGAGAGAAAAGAATAGAAAAAGAGAGGCACCCTTGACAAAGTCTCATCACACCACAATCCCTCCCACTGCCTTCCCCCAGGCTTCCATCAGCTAGAATCACAAGCATTCCTATGGGCATACCTGGCATGTTCATGCTGACCAGAATCTGAATCCTAAGCCTTCCCACACATCTTCACATTGCATAATGTCATTCTACTGCCTGCAGCATTGCAGCTGGGCCACTGCACCTTTGTTTTTGCCTTTTTTTTCCAATGTCAGAGACTATGTGCATAAGTATAAGAGAGGAAGGGAGCAAGTGCTCCCCACCCCCAGTGGGGCTTGATCATGGTGGTTAAGGCACTGGATTCCCATATGGCTGACCATGGTCTGAGCTCCAGACCTGCTGGCTTGAAAATCATCTGTGCGTGTGTATACATGCCCAAAAATCTCAGGAGGAGAGTGAAGGAGAAGGGATTGTAGCATACTGATTCCCCCTGGGGAGTGATTTCTCACTTTCTCTTTCTTGGTCTCTCTCCAGCAAGCAAACTTGCCATATGGCAAAAACCTAAAAAAAAAAAAAAGAATTGACTAGAAATATGTAAGTTGATATCTGGTCTCTCTATCCTATTCCATTGGTTGGTGAGTTTGTTTCTATGCCAGTACCATGCAGTTTTCATTATTATTGGGTTGTCAGAAAAGTCATGATGCATTTTTTTTTTCTATGCAAAAATGCATTGTGATGGGACTAGTAGTTAGCGTAATGGCTGTGTCGCTGGACTCCCATGTAGTCAACTGCGGTTCGCGTCCCAGACCCGGTGGCTTAAAACTCACTCCAGGCACGTGTGCGTGTGTGCCCAAGATCCCAAGAGGAGAATGGAGGAGAAGGGATTGTGGTGTGGTCATCCCCCCGGGGGGTGATTTCTCGCTTTCAGTCTCTCTCTGTCTGTCTGGCAAGCGCATGCACCCTATAGCAAACAAAACAAAACAAAACAAAACAAAACAAAACAAAACAAAACAAAACAAAACAAATCAAAACAAAACAAAACAAAAAAACTCTAAAAAAAATGCATTGTGACTTTCCAACAACCCAATATATCTTGTAATATATTTCAAAATCAGGTGTTATGATGCTTCCATCTTTGTTCCTTTGTCCAAGAGTACTTTGTCTATTCAACATCTTTTGTGGTTCCATACAAATTTTAGTATTATTTTTCCTATTTCTATGAAGAACAACATTAAATTTTTAATAGGCATTGTATTAAATCTCTAGATCCTCTAGATCACTTTAGCTAATCTTTTTTTTGGGGGAGGTTTTTGCTATAGGGCACGTGCGCTCACCAGAGACAGAGAGAAAGAAAGAAAGAAAGCGAGAAATCACCCCTCAGGGGTAATGGCCACGCCGCAATCTCTTCTCCTCCATTCTCCTCTTGGGATTTGGGCACGCACGCACATGCGCCCAGTGTGAGTTTAAGCTACCAGGTCAGGAATTTGAACCACAGTCGACTACATGGGAGTCCAGCGACATAGCCATTATGCTAACTGCTGGTCCCAGTAGGACATCTTAAAAATAGTTCCAATTGCTGAACATGGGATATCCTTTCATTTATTTGTGTCATTTTCAAATTCTTTCATGAATGTTTTATAGTATACATACTTTTTACCTCCTTGGTTAAGTTTACTCCTTTGGTTAAATGTACTTCTTTGGTTAAATTTACTTCTTTTTAAAAATTCTATTGTTAATGGGATTTTTTAAAAAATTTCTTTTTAGATAATTTGTTTTTAGTGTATAGGAATTCTACTGATTTTGGTGTGTTGCTTTTGTATCCTGTAGTTTTAGTGAATTTGTTTATCAGTTCTAACAGTTTTTTAGTGGAATCTGGATGGTTTTCTATACGTAAGATAATGTCATTACAGAGATAAATTCACTTCTTCCTTTACTTCTTGGATGCTGTTTTCTGAGGCTAGTTTCTCTGATTAGGACATCCAGTATTAATTTGAACAGAAGTGGTAAGATGGGGTATCCTTACCCCTTACTGATTTTAGAAGGAAAAGGACCTAATTTGAAGGTTGAATTTAGGTCACTAATTTCAAAGTTGACTAGAGTTTATGTGTACAGTTAGCACACTATCTGATTAAATAAATGCTGTTCCTTCTTAAAATAATTTCAGTCCTCTAAGAGGAATGAACATGAAGATTTTGTTTTATTTTTAATTTGTGACAGGGCTTGTGTGCTCACCAGAGACAGAGAAAGAGAAAGCACCTCCTCAAGGAGGATGACCATGCCATAATCCCTTCTCCATTGTCTTCTTGGGATTTTAGACATCTGTGTACATACATACACCTAGCATGTTTCTGAAACCACCAGGTCTGGTACTCGAACTGCACAGTTCAAGGGTTCCATTCACCTATCCACCTTAAACCCTACGCTACCTGGCTGGCCCTCAACATGACTTTTGATTAGTATCCTACCTTTACAATTTATCTCAAAGGGTACTCCTTTCCTTTCCTGTACTTCATTAGATTTATTTTCCTTTATTCCACTTTTCCCTTTGTTTATTAGGAAGTGTGCCCATGACCCATGCCCATTAAATGCATCACTAAGATAACAGTAAAACCTTGCATGGGAGAGGAAGCTTCATTGACTTGCTACCTAGAACCAGGGTACTAACTTGTGATCACCCACTTGGTGAAATCAGTAGAACTGTGGTCGGCCATGTGGGAGTCATCAGCTGACCACTCATTCTACAATGTTTACACATATCAAAATGCCACATTGTATCCCATACATATATACAATTATTATTTGTTAATTAAAAATAAATTGAAAACTTAGAGTGCATGACCTACTCAGTGTCGTTTTATTTATTTTAATTTTCCGTAGGGCATGTGTACCTGCCAGAGAGAGACAGAGAGGGAGAGAGGGAGGAAAAGTAAAAAACTCCCCCCAGAGGGTATGGCCTTGCTGCAATCCTTTCTCCTCTCAGATTCTGGGCACATGCACACATGCACTCGGCATGTTTTTCAAGACACTGGGTCTGGGACTCAAACTGTGCGGTTAGTTATGTGGGACCTAGCTACCTTAACCATCGCCCCATCTGGCTGGCCCCTCCGTGTCATTTTTATATAAAACTAATACATTAAATAAATATGTGATGCTGGCTCACAATCGTAGAAATATAATTAAGTGATAGGACTAAGTTATTTGAAGCAATTGGGTTAGGTCTTAAAATCAGTCAAGAAGCCAGATGGTGACAGAGCAGTGAAATGCAAACTCTCTGTGGGGCTAACCCACATGGAAGGTTCTAGTTCAAAAACCTACTTGAGTATGCTCATGATCTGGGACTGGCTGAGCTGGTGGTGAATTGCATTGTCAAGACCCTATCGTGGACCAGCTGGCAGTGTAATAGTCATGGCAGCTGGATGTCACAAGACCAACTGTGCAGTTCAAGTCCCAGACCCGGAGGCTTGAAAAACATACCAGATGGGCTAGCAGATGGCATAGCGGTTACGATACTGGATCCCACACCGCCGACAGCAGTTTAGTCCCAGACCCAGTGGCTTGAAAATAATGCTGGGCATGTGTGCATGCATGCACAAGACCCCAGGAGGAGAATGAAGGAAATGAGACTGCAGTGTGGTCACCGCCCAGGGGGTGACTTCTCACTTTCCTTCTCACTGTCTCTTTCTCTGTCTCTTCCTTAAGTGCATCTGCCATAAGGCAAAAACAAAAACAAAAACAAAAACAAAAAAAAAAAAAAGAAGAAGAAGAAGAAGAAAGAAAAGAGAAACAGAAAAAGAAAAACATGCCAGGTGCATGTGTATGGGTGCCCAAAATCCTGAGAGGAAAATGAAGGAGAAGGGATTACAGCGTGGTCGTCACCCCTGGGGGTTGCTCTTCCCCTTTCTCATTCTTTGTCTCTTACTCTCCAGCAAGTGCACACACCCCACAGTTAATTTTAAAAAGACCTTATTGGAGGTGCTTGCTATCTTTTTTCTTCTCTCAAGGAAGAAATACTTTTTTTTTTGTAAAGTTAAGTATATTTTGAAATAAAGAACAAAAGTACAAATTGGGAAGTGAGAGTCAAGAAGCGACATCTGGTAACACTTCCGTGTGTAAGGGCTGTATGTAATCAGGCCTTTTTGCTCCTCAAATATGCCACTGCGCTTCTTTCTCCAAGTCCTGTGCTCATTTTCCCTTGGCCTGGCACCCTCACTCTATTATCTATTTCTAGGACTCTATCAGTTCTCTGTTCAAGTGTCACCTTATTAGTGAGACCCAACCGCTCTATCATGTTCGTGCATTTCTCACTGCCACCGCCTCCGGCCCCTCCGGCCCCTCTGGCCCCACCCTGATGCGCTGCTTTATTTTTCTCTACTGTACTTATTACCATCTACCATGTGGTATTTCTGCTGGTTTAGTTACTTTTTCCTCTCTCTGGCACTGTAAGCTCCATAACAGCAGGAACTTTGTTTCCTGCTATATAGTACCCAAGAACAGCACTAGCAAGAAATGAATGCTTAACATTTATTTATTTTTTACTTTTAAAAATGATTTTTAATTTAACTGTGTTTATTTTAATTTGACCAGAGAGAGAGAGAGAGAGAGAGAGAGTGAGAAAGCAAGCCACCTGGTCCAGGACACGAACCATGGTCGGCCATGTTCAGCCAGTTTAACCACCATGCCACCTGCCGACCCCACTGCTTAGCATTTATTGAAAACACTGCTTGTAAGAACATAATCTTGAAAGGGGGAAAACAGGGTACTCCTGGAAGCATCCCGCTCACCTGGTAACCCCACCTACCTGTCCATTGTATTGTTTGTCATAAGTTTTCTTCCAGAGATGCCAGTGGTGATCCAGCGTGGGATCTTTCTGCAGCTGTGCCATCACAGAGGAGCACAGCAGAAGTGCTCCCACCAGCCAGCTCATTCTGTTTCACAAAGGCAACATAAGAAGCGACGCTTTTAACTTCATATATTGTGACCATATAAGCAATGCATATCAATCGAAAAGAGCGACACAAAGTCTATCGAAGGGGCAGGCTGTTATAAATCAGAATTATACAGAAATTTCCTTGGCTCTATAGTCACAGGGAATAATTGTGGATTATTGTGTGAAATACTGCCTCCAATACTTAGTAGCAGTTTCAGAAGTGATTTTCAGAAACCTATTATCTGATAAATCAAACACATGCAAAGACAGGGACTTCCCAAGATTTGCCAACAAATCTAACAATGGGAAATCCTCTTTTCTCCTTTCCAAAACAAGACCAATAAAATCATCCTTAACAAAAGGACCTTGCGCCAGCTGGCGGTGTGGTGGGTAAGGTGGCTGGATCCCACATGGCCAACTGCATGGTTCAAATCCCAGATCCAGGGACCAGCAGATTGCATAACGGTTATGTTGCTTGACTCACATGTAGTCAACCATGGTTTGAGTCCCAGTCCTGGTGGCTTAAAACTCACGCTGGGCACATGTGCAAGCGTGCCAAACTCCTGAGAGGAGAAGGGATTGCGACGAGGCCATCCCTCCAGGAGGTGATTTCTTGCTATCTGTCTCTCTCTCTCTCTCTCTGTTTCTCTGGCAAGCACATGTGCCCGATAGCAAAAGTCTCTTAAAAATAAATAAATAAAAAAACCCAGACCCAAAAGCCTGAAAAACAGGCAGGGTGTGTGTGCATGTGTGTCCAAAATCCTGAGAGGAAATGGAGAAGAGGGGATGGCATGGCCATCCCACTTGAGGGGTGTTTTCTCACTTTCTGTCTCTCTCCAGTGAGTGCACATACAGCAAATTTTAGAAAAAGAAAAGTCAAAGAGGATCTCTGACTGGCTGGCCTTGAAGTATAGCAGGTAAGCCCTGTGCATAGGGACCTGGATCCCACATGGCCAACGGCAGTTCCAATCCTGGCCTTGCGTGGCTTGAAAATATGCCAGGTGTGTGTGTGCACATGCCAAACCCTGACAAGGTGGAGAAATGGAGGAAAAAGCACTGTGGTGTTTCCACACCCCGTGGGAGGTTTTTTCTCTCTCTAGCAAGTGCACGTACCCTCTGGAAATTAAAAGAAAAGCAGAGGACCTCTGAAAAATCAACTTGTCTTCTGAACTTTTGAATACATGAGATCTTCTGGTCTAGTTATCTACAACCTTTGTTAAAAAGATAACTCCATCCTATTACTCTTAAATCCTTAGGTTATTTTTTTCGTTTTTTTTTTTTTTTCAGTGATCGAATAGATATTTCACAGGAAGTAATTACTCTTTAAAAACACCACGTTTATGTCTAATTCAAAGAGACTTTAGCAGCAATTCAGTGACTAGCTCCCTTAAACTGGATTTTGCTTTTTTTTCCCTTTCTTTGTCATTCAAGACAGCTAGAATTTTAACCATATAAACTTTCAGATTATATTCCAAGGAAAACAATGTTTCAGCCTCAAACTTAGATGTTCATGCAGACATTAACTTTTGAAAAATAAATTATTTTTAATGAGAAAAGGAAAAAGCAAGTTGAATAACGTGATTTTTAAAGTTTACTTCCTGAAACCAAAGATTTAAAACCAAATGAGCAGTACAAGCTATACATGTAACAGAGTGTTTAAAGCCCCGGCGGGAGAACAAGGACCGACAGTACATACCTGACAGAAGCAGCAGGCGGACCCATGGCAGGGACCCTTGAAAGATTTCAAAGGCAGCAAGGGGACCTCAGCTGAACTGGCTTTAAAAAGAGACTGGAACTTGTCACATGAGGTATCCACAATGAGGAAGTCAACTTTCAGTTTCATTTGACCATCTAACTAGATCAGTTACCTCTAGCCTTCTCCCCACGGTCTTGGAGACAGTGTAGACAGTAAACCCTTGGGAAGTGCCCCCTGAAGAACCCCAAGATTGGTAGAACAAACTCAGCAAAGTAAGAGCAGTACATGTCTGCCCATAACTCTCCCTTGTGATAATTCACTGTATTAAAAACACTGATTTTTCAGACAGAGAAATTAGTTATAAAGAGATTAAGTTCCTGAAAACAAAACAAAGCAAAGCAAAACAAAACCCTGTTCCTGCCATAATTTCCTAAGAAAATCTGGTTTTATTCCTTCCCCCCGCCCCGGAGGGTGCCTGTCTTCGCCATAGAGAGACGGAGGGAGAAAAGAAAGCACCCCCGCCCATGGGGTATGATCACATCACAATCCCTTCTCTTCCATCTCTTTCTCCCATCAGGATCTTAGGCATGCACGCATGTGTGCCCAGAGTGTTTCTCAAGTCACTGGGTCCAGGACTCAGTCGTGTGGGATCCAACTGCCTTAGCCAGCAGCCATGGAACCAGCCCTGCTTTATTCCTTTCAACACAACTCACCTATGATCCATTTTATTTCATTCTCATTCAGCTATTTTTGTTTATCAGTGAAAAATATATTTATTAAGCTGGCCCATGCTCTAGTGCTTAAGGTAGACAGATTCTACATGGCCAATTCTGAGGTTCTAGTGTGGGACTTAGTGGTTTGAAGAATACACCAGGCGTGTGTGTGCGTGCTAAAAATTCTGAGGGGAGAGAGAGCGATGGAGGAGAAGGGATTGTAGTATGGCCATGCCTCATGGAGGGTGCTTTCTTTTCTTCTCTCTCTGTCTTTGAAGAGTGCACATGCCCTTTGGCAAAAACAAAACAAAGTATCTTCATTAATATATAACACACATGCATGCACAGGAACTTTAAAAAGTTTGTAGAAAAATGAAATTAAGAGACCAGCAGATGGCATAACAGTTATGTTGCTGAACTCCCACATAGTCGACCATGGTTTGAGTCATGGACCTGGTGACTTGAAACTCACACCAGGCACATGTGTGTGCACACCCAAGATCCCAGGGGGAGAATGGAGGAGAAGGGATTGTGGTGTGGTCATCCTCCCATGGGGGGGGAGGGAGGAGGGTGATTTCTCGCTTTCTGTCTCTGTCACTCTCTGTCTCTCCAGTGAGCACTTGAGTCCTATCTTTAAAAAAAATAAAAGAAATTTAAGTCCAAGTTTATTTTGGTGCAAAAAAAAAATTGAGATTCAGGCGGAGTTTTTTGGTAATATACACTTTCCATGATCATTTTGAAGTGCCCTAGTGTATGTGTGTGTGTGTGTTAATATGTTCATGGAAAAAAGGATAAGTGATTATATGGGTGGGATGGGAGCAATATGAATTATCATTTTGAAAATTTGAATTTTCCATTACTAATGCAGTTGTGCATCTTTTAAAAAAATTATTTTATTTCTTTTTATCCATTTATTTATTTTTATTTGACCATAGAGGGATAGAGTGAGAGAGAGAGAGTGAGAGAGAGAGAGAGAAAGCAAGCTGCCAGGTCTGGGACTCGAACCGAAGTCAGCCATGTGGGAGTCCTGCATCTTCAACCACCACGCCACCTGCCGGCCCCATGGTTGTGCATCTTTTCGCATATTTGTTGACCATTTGAAATTTCCGTGAATCTTCTGTTTATCTCTTTTGCTCATTTTTGTATCGTATTATTTTTTCTTAGCTCAGTTATTTTAAAAAATATTTTCTGTCCACTAATCTTTGACAGTTATGTACACTAAAACATCTTTTCCCAGTCTTTTCATTTTTTTTTTAACCTTGTTTACAGAGTTTTGCTATAAGAAATCTTAAAATGTTAATGTAGAAAATTTTACTCAGGGGTCTGCCTATGGTGTAGGGGCTAAGGCAGCTGGATCCCGCATGGATGAAAGCACGGTTTGAGTCCTGGACCCAGAAGCTTGAAAACCACACTGGGCGCATGTGTGTGCATGTTTAAAATCCAGAGGAGAATGGAGGAGACGGGACTGTGGCATGGCTAATACCCCTAGGGAGTGATTTCTCATGCTCTCTTTTTTCCCTGTCTCTCTCCAGGTGAGCACATGTGTCCTAAAGCAAAACAAAACAGAAGAAAAAAAACTATTTTTTTTTAAATTCAGTGTTTCCTTAGGGTCTACACTTTCATGTCTTGCTTTTTTTTTTTAATTTTTTTTTTTGGGGGGGAGAGATTTTCGCTATAGGGCGCGTGCGCTCGCCAGACAGACAGAGAGAGACATAGAGACAGAAAGTGAGAAATCACCCCCCAGGGGGGATGGTCACGCCGCAATCCCTTCTCCTCCATTCTCCTC